TCAAGCCATTCATTTCTTGGAAAAGATGAAAAAAATGCATTTATAGCATAATCAATCTCGTCATCGAAATGAAAATGACGTCCATGTAAGTTCTTTTTCAAATTAAAAAAATAACCAAAAGTCACACATAGCTAGATTGGGTGAATGGGGTGGATGATTATCAGTTTGATGTGTTTTTGTTCAAGAAACTCAACTGTCAATCTTGCTGAATGAAGATGCTTTGTCATGGTGCAGCAAGAATCCTCTAATATTTACTTCTTGAAGAATTTATGGTAGACAATGGTGTACCAGATAGCCATGACTGTCTTCTGTCTCTCAAATTTGAAGGCTTTGACCAGTCCTGTACTTCTGAAGAAAATGGCATACATTACTCTTTTCATGGCAAGTTCTTTTCACCATTGTGGCGTGGGGGTCATTATCAAAGATCCATACTTTATTTTCTTGACATGTCAGAATGTCAAAAAATGGTATGTACATATCATCACCAGTTACAATTTTAGAAATAATATGGTGGATATTATCTTTAAATAATCTAAAGCTTTCTTTACTGATTCTGACATGCTCCTATTTCTGGAGATAGGTTAAATTATGGGGAACTCAATGGCAAACTAGTTTTTTCATATAGAATTTATCATGAATAATTTTATGTATGGCAGCAGATCCAATTCTAAGTTACTTCCGTATCATTTAGTAGGTGCAGCCATTATCATTAATTGGCATTTTCTGTATGGCAGACACATTATCCAGGATTACTGCCGACAATGACCTTCCTGTGTATTCTTCATCGTAAAGAAAGTTATGACCACTGTGAAATTCATCTGAATAAATTAGCACAGTACAGACCTTCATTTCCAAATGCTAACTGTAGATGTTGAATACATTCTTCTTGATTTAATCTCATTTTAAAATCGTAGATAATGGTCTCGCATTAACTGCATTTTTTCTTTTGCCTAAAATTTATTCTACAATAAACTGCTTGCAATTGGCAAATAAAAAAACCATCTGCTAGCCTAAAATAGTTCATATTTTCAAATCTAACTTAATTTTTTTCTGCTACTTATCATTTGTGCATATGAAAAATTTCAACAGTGACCTCTGTATTCACATTACATATGGGGAAAAATCTTAGGCATTAAATCTCTTCACTAGGAATCAAACCCAGAAAGAACTATTAGTGCTTGGGTCTTGTCCACTGGAATATCTATTAAAATATGTTACAACCTGTTACTGAATGCATCACATCATAGAATGAAATTACAGAACCACAAAAAATGATCATACAAAGGAGAATATTTACATGGACAACTTAAAGCTAATTCATTTAGAGTTATATAAACATTATTTCTTATATAAAAAAGTAAATTTTTCCATTGTATGTACGTTTTCCCTTCTCTGTAATTTTTTATTTGTACCTAATTAATACGCAGTCCAAATTTGGTACCTGTAGGATCCAGCTGTGGTCGGTGTTGGTGTCTTGCCCATAATTTATTAACTCAAATTAACTTTTTCATTTATTCACACACACAACCTAAACTTTATACACTTTACACAAATAGAAAAACATCAATTGATAAACGGTTTAAAGTTACCGCACTGAGCATGCTGACCATTCGGCTTCTCCCGCCGAAAGCCAATCTCCAACTCACCCTTTTTTGATTTAGAGGGTGCTTTTGGGGATTACAGTTTTGGAGGACCAGGCACTACATTACCATTATATTAATTAATAATGATTAAAATTATATTCTGTAGCTTTATTTAACTAGGGGAACTTATTTCTAATGTCTTCACTCCTAGCTACGGAGAAAGAAATTCTCCAGTAGGCCTGTGACATAGGAGCCCTAGCAGGGACAAATGTTACTGTGTGCATACTTTTAGTAAAATAGCAAATAATACTCATAACAAAAAGGTTAGCACTTAGAACATTCCAGTTGATTATGGAATTCTAACATCATTTACTGCTTTTTAAAATTCTAAATAAAATGTTCCATTTTAGCATATTAGTTATGATAAGGTGACACTTCACTCTAGTATCACATTTGATACAATGGAAAACTGAAGCCTAACATATATAATATGCTGGGAATAGAAGCAAACCTATTATATACAGGTCCTTATTTAACATGAAGTGGGTTGTTAAGGCCGAAAAGACGTGAAACCAAGATCTAATGTTTTGTTATTGTTTAACTTGAGGAATCTGGCAACTTTGAGTAGAAGAGAGGGATGTAAGATGGCTGCCATTATTTTGTGTGTTCTGGTTATGGTTCTAAAAAGGTGGTTGTGCTGATTATGTAATATGTATTTTAAGGTGCAGATGGCAAAAGTGTCCATCCAAGTAGATATGTAAAAATTCTTATTTGTGTGCCTAAATTTTTTTAAGAAAAACAACATTAAAAATAATACAGTCCGTTACGTTTGTGTGTGAATTTCATGACATTTGTTTTCAAGTGTCATTAAATAAAACGATTGAACACAGGATAAAACAGCAGACTGAAAAGTGAAGAATGCTATACACTTCTATATTATAAAGTTCGTGATATCTAATTTACTATTAATATTAAAAAAATAACAACTAGCTATAAATGAATCAAGCATAGGAACAATATGGAAAATTGAAGAAAAGATTGTCTAGTGTCAAAACTACAGACAATATTCAGGAAAGGTTGTTCAAATTTTAAGAAGAATTCTGGAGTTGGAAAAGATAGAAGAAATATTAAGAGCTTCATTTAACAATCAAGTAAAAAAAAAAAAAAAAAAAAAAAAGGGCTTAGTTATAGATGACATTGCTGTTTGAAATAAAGCTTTAGATATTTTCGCTTTCATTTTAAGTAAAGATGGGCAGTTATTAGACAAAATTTACATTCAAACAAGCAAAAATTGGTTTGAGAACTCTAAACATGGATTTAATTTGCACAGTGTAAAATTTCAAGGACAAGGTGTCTCTGCAAATCAAGAAGAAGTAGATAGATTCAGTCTCCAGATTTTTAAATTCATTGAAGCGATTTTGAAATTTGTTACGTTCCACAACAAGTTTTCAATACAGACGAGACAAGCCTTTTTTATAAGTAAATGGGTTAACAGAGCTACATTACAAAGGCTGCTCTAGATTTTAAAGTTTTTAAGGATAGATTCACTTTATTTTTCTGGGGGGAGCGGTGGAAACAGGCAGCTCAGTTGCAAACTTCTGCTTATTTATTAATCTAAAACACCTCATGCATTGCAGAGGAAAAACTTTGAGCAATTGCTCATTGCATGGAAGGGGGTGCTTCAAGCAGCTCAAGTGCAAACTTCTGCTTATTTATCAATCTAAAACATCTCATGCATTGCAGAGAAAATTCTTATTGCAATTCTCTGAGCAATTCTTATTGCATGGAAGGAAACAGAAAAGCTTAGCCAATAAAATGTTTCTTTAATAACTGGTCTGAAAATTTGTTTATTAAAAATATCAAGCATTACTTAGAACAGCAAAAACACAGCTTTAAAGGTCTGCTAATTTTTGATAATGCACATGCTGCTGAAGGGAAGCAGGACAAACTAATGGAATTTTGAATAAACAATTCAACATAAGTTACTGCATAAAAATAATTAAATTTGCATGCGAACAAGTGAATTCATCAATAATTAATGCTGACTGGCATCACCTCAGGCTAGAAGTTATCAAGAACAATTAAAGCATTTCCAATGAATGAAGTTCCATTCCGAAGTTGAAAATGAAGCTAAAGAAATTGTAGAAATTGCAGGAGGAATTGGTGACAAAGGATTGTCAGACAGGGAGAACAAGTCAAAAAATTAATCAAGAATGATGAATAAAGAACTACAACATCTTATAATACCATCTGAGAGTGAAAGCAGTAACAGTGAAGAAGATAAAATGCTTTTAACTTACAAGAAGTTAAATTATTAAAAGAAGGCATAGAAATTGCTGTGGTTTTGAATTAGAGATTAACCAAATGAAGAAAGAAGAGGACACTTTATGAGAAGCATTGAAAAACCTCTGCACTCTTTACTGCAAAACTTTTTTTAACGAGTAGCCTCAGTCATTGTCCTAAGCAAAAATCATGATCTTTTCAAAAATATATTTGTATCATATATCTACTTATGGCACAGTTTTGAAAATCCTTTTAATTAACAGTTTCATTTTTTCACTTTTACTTAAAAAATATTTAGATTTGTTTAAACAGTACATACTTTCTTAATTTGAACTATACCTAACACATTTTTTCAATAGAAAGTTAACTTTATGGAACATGTTTTTGCCATGCATGCAGTGTATTAATGATGCAACTCCTACATTCAGGAAGAGTTAATTGTATTACAGTTCAACAAAATTATATTTCTCCAGCTATGTATAATTTCTCTCTATTTTTTGTAAACAAGAGTATAAAAAGCCTTTTAAAAATATTCTTCATATAAAAAAGCAATCACTTTAAAATTATTTTTTAAAATATAAATATTAAATTAGATATCATGAACTTTATATATAAAAGTGTATAGCATTCTTCACTCTTCAGTCTGCTGTTTTAACCTGTGTTCGATCATTGTATTTAATGACAGTTGAAAACAAATATCATGAAATTCACACACAAACGTAGTGGACAGTATTATTTAAGTGATAAAATATGTGTATAATTTTTGAACTTATCAACGCTTTCAATTTTCTGAGATATCAAAATTTTGGATCTTTTTTTACTAACATACCATGTATGAAAATAATTCTTAACAATGGATAAATTTAATGGAAACAATCAAGATAATGTGTATGTGTGCAAAACTGCATTCTGCAAATCACCCTTGACAAGGTTTTACTATACATGCAACACAATAAGCAAAAATTAATCTTGAATTAATCCTTCTAGTTGTTTTATAGGCCATCCTAAATTTATTCACTGCTTTTATTAATATTAATGTTTTTTCCATATTTTGTGAATTAAATGAAAATTTTTGAGTTGAAAAATTGAGAAATGAAAAATTCAAGTTTTAATTTATATAAGGGAAAGACTTACTTATTTTTTCAGATAAACTATCAATTTCTTTATACAGGTTTAAGATGTGAGCATCTTGCTGGATTGAAATTCTCTTTAAATCTGTAGCATATTCATCCCGTGCCTGCATTAAAACAGTGTTCAACACATAAAGTAAAACTATAGCATTATATGCAAAATAATAAAATATTTACGCGTTTTTGCTATGTTATACAACTATTATATTTGGTAATTCAAATGAAATTGGAATAAGTACAAATCAAATTAAAATCTTATTTATAAACAAACACAAGGAAGTACAAATTTGTACTAAATTACCTATAATTGGAAACCAAATTTGAGCAAAATAGTCATCTGCACATTGAATACAAGGCTTTCAGAATTAGATACAGTTACATAATCAGTTCAAGGTTCAAGACCCATATAAAACTGAATACCTCAGCCAGAATGGTACAGCAGATTTACAGTACTATATAATTATTGAGAGCAGATAACATATTTGTCTGATGGAGGTATTAATATTTTAGAGAGATATTTACAATTTGGGTCATATGATTCTCAAAAGATGATTAAAAGGGTAATTTAACAAATAATCAGAAAAAAAAAAAAAAAAAAAAAAAATTAGTTACCACAATTTCATCTTTATGAAATGATTTCATGTCTTCAATCATTTGGGCTTGTTCTTTCAATTTTGATTTCTAAAAAAAGTAAATATACTACTTTTCTCCATTATTTTAACGAAACTTTATTTTATAAAAATTTTATTTTTTAACCACATATGTTCAGAGTTATGGCAAACTAATAATATACTAGATTTTATTTTTCAAATAGATTTTCAGAAAAAATATTAATTTTATAAGAAATACTTTCCTTACAAAATAGAAAATGATAAAAGGTACAAACTTAAAAAAAAATTTTACTACGGAAGGAATAACCTCTGCCAATATAAATCGATTTGAAGCCTTGCAGATTTAAAATCACTGTATTTTTACCACTTAGTTTCACCCATGTATTAAAAATCAGTTCAAATTCATGCTTATTTTAGAACAGACACACCAACAGTTCAATTTCTTCAGTATTTCAAATCATCTTAACAGTATATTAATGCCCTCTACTTAAACTATATAAACTGACAATTTAAACTATCTAAACTGTTAAAATATACACCAGCATTTCAGCTACACAATGTAAGAAGTCTCGTAACAAAAGTTCAGTAATAGCTACATACAGAAAGTAGAATGTTTAATGCTTTTTTTTATAATATTATATAAGGTTTTAATTCTGGCTATAACTTAATTTATGTATATTTTAAATTGAAAATCTTTCAATAAACAATGTAACTTCAGCCAAACCTTTGTTTTGACAAACTAAAACTTTAATCATCGTGGAATCAATACAGAAATTAATAACTTGCAAAAATTTCAGTGATCTATTTTTGATAAAATTAATGTCGAAAGGACCTACATGTTAAGCCTTCTCTGCAACAGTACACACTGATCAGAAATTCAAAAACAACTATTATAAGTGAATTATCTAATAATACTCAACATCAGTCAATTGTTCCTCCTCTTGATATCTAAATTCTGCAGTATTTAGACTTCATTTTTTCTCTCTTAAAAGTTTAAAAAATATCTCATTTTTATACTTTTATGCACAAGCTTATGACATGTATCCACTACAAAATCTTAATTTCAATATACTAAACTGTCTAAAAGGCATGAATACATTAAACTGCTCATGATATTTATTCTCAATTCATATATATATATATATTACCACGTTCATCAAAATTTTTTCTAATTTTCTTTGATAATCCCAAATTTATTAAAAAATATTAAATTAAACAACAAATACAGTACTTTACATACAGGTCTAAAAAGCAATGCTACTCAAGGTTTAAACTGACCTAACTGCATGCATGCTCTGTACACAGCAAATGGATGAAGCAATCTTATTGTATATAGCAGGGGTGGCCAAATTTCATAAGTCTGAGCTGCATTTCATAATTTAGGAAACTTTGAGAACCACAACTAGATTTTCCAAGAATTAGAATTCTGTATTTACATTATTTTAAAAACGTACTTGCCGACCTACAACACTAAACAAATCAGGAGATTTTCTCAATGATAAAAATAACTTTGAAATGATAATGATATATTTTTTAAATAATAAATTAACTTTAAATAGTTACTAATTCATATCTGAAAATTCAATTACTAATTCTTAAATGTAAACTGTGCAAAAATACTTATATGCATGTAAAAAAAAAAAAAAAAAAAAAAAAAAAAAAAAAAAAAAAAAAAAAAAAAAAAAAAAAAAAAACTTTTATTATTTGCATCTTTTAACAAAAAACAACACTTTAATCAATTTTCATACAAATGCTATGAACAGTGGTAGATTTTGCTTTCATTAAAAAGAAACTTCATAATTTTGTCCATAGCAATTGTCATGTAAGCCTGGTTTTGCTAATAAAAGTTTTTCTAATGTGTCATTACTAATATTAGATCTAAATTATTCCTTGTTTTCGAAACAATGCTGAGAATCCTCTCGCACTCTGCATTACTATGGGGAATTTTCAGAATGGCCAAAATCTTGACTATTCCCCATAGAAATCCTAACAATTCAACATAGGATTAGAGAGATCACTATACTTTCAAATTCCATCAGCACCTTTCAGTTTTCAAATTAAGCTCCATTGGGTATCAATCCTAACTGGTTTTTATAACTTTATCCAAGTTTTCTAATTGTAAACTACAAAATTGCAACTGCAGTTTATCAGTTACAACATCAATATCATGATGAATAAATGAAATAAAACTGGAAATCTATTCTAAAAATACATCAGAAAAAGATGCATTAGAAGAAATGTCTCCAACTTTAGCATGTATAATCACTTCATTGTTGACTAGAAATTTATGTATTATGTAATCCCATTGTAATTATAATATGTAATCACATACTCAGCTAACATGGAAAAATAAAACATTTTTGTCTTCCTCTGAGAGTTCTTCCACTATTTTGTTAGTTACAACCCCTATTACCGAATCTTCATCTTTCCTCTGTTTTTGTGTTTCATAAATCACATTATATATAGAATTAGAAGACAAAGATTCGTTTTATAAACTAAAATTTCTTTAAAGAGATCATAAATCATTGATTGCAAAACATGAATTAATGGAACTCTGCTTTGTACAGCTGTGTTACGAATGATGACAAAATGAATTCTAGAAAAAAGAAAAAAGCTTTGTTAAGTTCTGAAAACAAAAGAAGAAATATTCGTTCATCACAAGATAAACTTACGGTAATTGGAAAATGTTTCTCTATTTGAGCAATATATATATATTTTTAATTTTGAGAGAAATTTATATCAGCTTTATGCTTATATTTTGTAGTACTATTTTGAAAACTGCCGCTTAAACTGCTCACTGGTGCAGAAAATATTTTTCTCAAACTTATTTTTAAGATTGAAAGTTGTAACTACATCTCCATTTACTTTATAATTATTTAATATTTTTTTATATTTATTTTTAACTTTCAGTTTTACAACTTTCTCTTTTATCGTAACTCTAGAAGCATTTACTTCTTCATTAACAAATGCAAGCAGTGCGTTCCATTAGTCAAGGATTGTAGATAAACACTTCTTTAAAGATAGCTAGCATGTATATACATGTTTTAAAATTTTTCTTATTTTAGTAAACTGTATTATTTATTCAGTATGGCATTTTACTTTAGTATGCTGCTGTATTATTTAGTACGCAGCTGTTAGAATTGTTTCAATTTTTCTCTTCTTTTAGAATTCCATTCAAGATAATAAATATCAACAATGTGTTCATGCTCACTTATTGGTAAAAAGGCTGCCCCTTTTTCAGATGCTAAATTTAAGAAGTGACAGGTGCACTTCGTAATTTGCAAATCTGAATTTTTCTTTTTTTAAGATGCCTGAACTTGTCTTTAATGCAACAGTCTTCAAGCCTACCATTACTGATGCATTAGTGGCACCAAATGCTAAGCAATTATCTAGAGGAATTGCAGTTTCTTTTAAAATTTCCAACGATTCTCCGGCCGACAATGGCGGGAGAATGGTTGGAAATCAGGAATCTCTCATCTAAATCAGGAGAGTTGGCAACTCTGTAAAAGTAATGAAACAGCTTTCCAAGTAAATTAATAAGAATTTTCACATTTATATGTAATGAATAGGGTTATATATAATTTTTTTTTTAAAAAAAAGATCTTTTATTTCTCTTGCACTATATATCCTGCCCTTCTCTATGACATACAAATGTGAAACGTTGTAGATGCAAGTGCTTCTTTTTTCTATTTTTCTAACAAAACCCCCTTTTTCATAACTCTTGGCAGATTTTACAGAAGTAAACTGAAATCAAAAGAAAAATTGTAACTGATTTTGTGGGCACAATATGGTAAAAAGCTTTTTATTTGAATGACACATAATTTCTTTATTCTTCACTCAAATTAGAAGCTTTAATCTGAAAAACAGATCTAGTAATTTTTTCTCCTAACTGATAGGCACTTTTTTGGCAAAATAATTTAAATGGAACAGCATGCACTATGGAGAAAGGTTTGTTTGTTTTAGTATGGCAAAGCACGTGACGGCTATCTGCCTATAAGGAAGGCTGTCTCCATTTAGGATCTTTTTAACATTTTGCTTCTTTTAAAGATTGGACACCTGAATATTCAAAAAGATTTGAATTTCCAAAACTCAAATCTCTTTACACTTTTTTCTATCATTTAGAAAACTGCTGACTGCTTTACCTCAAAACTCTAGAAAGAGTAATTTTACTGATGTTCAACTGAAGTATCATTCACGTTATTTTAAAGAAGACTCTTAAATTTCAGTGGCATCTGAATTGCCCAAATCCCCTAACCATACCCTTGAATGCCACACCACTTCAGTATGGCATCGAATGAAATCAGCCTTGAATTTTCAAGAAACAAGTATGCTGTGCTTTCTCAGAAATTCCTGAAATTAATCCTGGAATCATCTCAACAATTCTGGACTCAGATGAACTACTATGAACGGGCTTTAGATGTTTCTAACAACTCACGGCATGATATATGAATGCTGGTTCATGAATATGACTGTACTTGTCTTATCAGTCATACTATTCAGCAATGGTTGCAGAATTTTGAAATGCTAATTGAAATTTAAGATGCTACTTAAATATGTTTCCCAAACTACATTGAAAAAATGAATTTCAAGATTTAAAAGTTTAATTATATGCAAGGAATTTTCTTCTTTCTTACCACATGCCTTTGTGATATAATTGGAAGCACATCTCGCTAGCCATTGGGAAGTGTAGAATTCGAATACCAACAAAAACATCACAGATTTGAGATTTGTCATGTTTCCTGCTTTGGGAAACCTAATAACACTACATAAATACTTTATTATGTATACATAAAAAGAAATTTCATGAAATAAGCCCAACTGAATAGTTGAAGGTCTGAAGAAGGCAAGTGCCCATCCTGGGCTGTCTTGGCCATTGAAGAAGAAGAATAGTTGAAAATGTAAGATGAGGATGATCAGCCATGCAACAGAAGATTCACATCAGTATTGCTACCAAAATTTATTGCAGAAAATGTATTTCAGATGATTATCTTAATCAAGCTTTTACTGATGATGGAGATCTTCCCATATATTATGAAAGGTTTTTGATTGTCTACATTGTAGGCTGGATACTGATGTTACTACGAGGGAAATCCCCAAAAAAAGGTCTCCTATATTTTTAGATGTAAAAGAACAGTTTATTTTCTATAATCGCTACACCACTTTAAAGATTGAAGAATGCTTTATTTTTCAACATAATCGCCACTTCGGTTGGTGCATTTTTGTAGACGCTGTGGCAGTTTTACAATGCCCATATCATACCAGCTTGCCGCCATGCCCTTCAGGAAGTGTTGAACCTCATCTTTCACCTCATCATCAGAGCAGAACCGCCATCCAGACAAATGTTCCTTCAACTTAGGGAACAGGTGGAAATCGCTGGGTGCCAAGTCAGGACTGTAGGGTGGGTGTGTGATGACGTTCCAACCAAAATTTTGCAGGAGATTGACAGTTTGACGGGCGACGTGAGGAAAGGCGTTGTCGTGGAGAATGCTTACACCCTTGCTCAACATCCCTCTTCTCTGGTTCTGAATTGCCCTTCTGAGTTTCTTCAGTGTTTCACAGTACCTGTCAGCATTGACTGTTGTCCCAGCAGGCAAAAAGTCGACCAACAGTACCCCCTTCCTGTCCCAAAACACAGTTGCCATGACTTTACTGGCAGATTGTGTTTGCTTGAATTTTCATGGCTTGGGAGAAGAGGGATGCCGCCACTCACGTGACTGTTGTTTTGTCTCAGGTGTAAAGTGGAATGCCCAGGTTTCGTCACCTGTGACAATTGAGTCCAAGAAGTTGTCCTTTTCGTCTCCATAGCGGCGAAGAAATTCGTGGGAAAAATCAACCCGTTACAGTTTGTGGTCTTCTGTCAGCATACGCGGCACCCATCTTGCACACACCTTCCGATATTGCAACTTTTCCATTAAAATCCTGTGGATGGTGCTTCTGGAAGCCTCAGGAACCAAAATGCAGAGAGCATCCAGAGTGATCCTCCGATCTTTACGCATGAGTTCCTCAACTTTCGTGATTGTCTCGTCGGCAATTGACAGCCTCCCGCTCCTTTTTTTTCGTCGTGAATTTCAGTACAACTGGCTGTAAACTCTCTACACCACTTGCGAATGTTTTTGACATCCATGCACGACTGTCCATACACTTCCGTCAATAGGTGGTGAATTTCAAACGCCTTTTGCTTTCAAAAATCGAATAACTGTGCGCACTTCACACTTGGCGGTAACGTTTATCAGGAGCTCCATTTCGAGTGGCTAGCAAGCCAAGACTGAGCGAAGTGCCTGCATGCTTATGTGGTAGCGGAGAAGGCACCACTCACAACAGTGTTGCCAACAACCATATTAAAACTTTCTCTACGTTCCCCAAAAATAGGAGACCTTTTTTTGGGATTGCCCTCATAATATTATTCTGAAATTCACTCTTTTAAGTATAGAGAAACTATCAATTAACGATGATAAGAAATTTTTAATATATGATCTAAACAAAAATATATCTAGCATAATTTAATTTCATGAATGTTACATATTGAAAAATAAAGAATTCTGCCATCTGTAAATAACGTACATAATTTTTTTCCTATGTCTTCAGTTCCCCCCTGTTATTATTGTTTTCATAAGTTATGTCATATCTGTCTATTTAAACCTGTTTGACACTGAACTAAGAGGTTCTAGATTTGAAGGCACCTCCATGAATCTTTTAATCAATTTTGATACTGTTCCACATATCCTGTAAGAAATCTTATATTAATTTCTGGTAACCCCTAAGAGAAAGTTGTACACACTTTTGCAGATGAAGTTTTGAGACGAAAGCAAATATCAGCTTGAAACCTCCAAAGTATAAGAATTTGAAGTGACAAGTGTTTGAAATGCAGTATTGTCACTATAGAAACTCAAAAATCATATTTCAAAATTGATAAAATATGGCATTTCAAATTGAGAAAAGTATAGGAAATCAAAAATTTCAAAATGGCAAGATTTTGAAAAAAATTTTATAGTATACTGAATGAAGTTTGCAATAATCAAACATCAGATGATCCAACTAGGTGAATCATAACCCAGTCTTCCATAGAGCTACCCACTTTAAAGATGAATGCATCAGTTACAGGAAGTGACCAAAAGTCAAGATGATCACAATAGAAACAGAAAAAGAATCATCAGGGAACATTCAATAGAAAAATCTCAACGTTTCCACAGTATCAATATAATCTACTTTAAGAAAAGCTTCGCATGGGAAAAAATTTTTGTTTCAAATCAATTCCTTACATCTTGATGCAACTTGACTGAAATTAAGATTTGATGACAGAGGTGACTACAAATATTTATTTTGTATTATCTTGAATAATTTGATGAAATCTGGATTAGAGATTTTGTATCAAAGTTGAAACTGTGATCAATTCTGTGAAAAAATCCATCTCCCACAACACCAAAAATTTCAGTGTGAACAATCTAAGGAAGTGATAATCTCTAAAGATGATTACCAAGGAATCATAATAAAAAAGAGTATATTATACTCTGAGCATGAAATTCATCATCACATAATATGTTTTATCATGTAAAATTTACAACTCTATAATAAGATCCAGCTAATAATAACAATAATACAGCTCATAAAACCATATACCATTTTTAATATTTGGTTTAAACTTTTAGTTTCTAGATAATACAAGATACTTTTAAAAATAACTTGCTTGAGTTTGAAAAAAAAAAAAAAAAAAAAAAAAAAAAAAATGGGGAAAGAAAAATTTTTATTACCATAATATTACATTGTTGCTCCATATCCGTTACTTTTGACTTATAAACATCCAAGTGAGAGTTTTTCACGTCTAATTTTTGCTTCAAATCTAAAGCAAAAGGGAAAAAAAAAAAAAAAGTTATTTTTGTTTTTAAAAGTTATCTATTCTAAACAACTGCATATCATGTTAAAATTATGATTAAATTTAAAGGGTGCTTTTTAAAGAATTGCATGATATAGACAAATTAAATATGCAAATCAATTTGTAATTATTGTATGTAATTTATTTGATATATTATTAATATAAAATATTTTACAATTTATGTTTAATTTCTAAATACTGAAAAATATTTATTTGTACTGCTATTTTCTGAGGAAGGGAGGCCGTAAAGATTGGCTGTTTAATAAAATGAGCATTGATCAGTAATATATTAATGAAAATTTCATGCAAGAGAATTTAATTACATTGCCATGCTAATAAAATTTAAAACTAATATATAAAAAGAAAATTATTTAATTATATAATTTCTGATATTTTTACAACTTTTTAAATATTTTCAGGCTACAGTTTGTTCAGATTTGATAATAAGTCAACACCATTAACAGATAAATAAAATTTCAGCAAATATTATTTTTATGAAGTATTAAAAATTATCATAAATTAAGAGAAATGGATTGACAATTAAAACTTCATAAATCGAAGCAGAAAAAATCCGATTATAATAGTCCTGTCAGATGGAATTCTGCTAGTCAAAGTTGTGTATAAAGTATACCTAATTTGCATTTAAGTTTGAAGTGTTACATATTTTAGCACTTTCTAATGATTTATGCAGTTTTTGATAATACTTTCTGCAGCACATTCAGCTGCAGATTTCACATTCTTATCCTGTTCCTTTTTTTTTTTTTTTTTTTAATGCTTATCAAGCTATGTGAATGAGTAATATTTTTAACTGTTATTCTGGTTGCCCATTCTTGAAACCAGATACTACGGCAACTTTCTCATCAAAACACACAATTTTTGCTTATAATTTCTGCAACTTCTCCTCATTAAAGATTTAAATTAAATTTTTAAACACTATATTTCTCATAAAAACAAAATAACAAATGATTTAATATAGGTGTGCATGTGTAAAAGTGCATAAAATCTCTCAGAAATGTAGACTTTCAAAATGAGATTTTACTAGCACCTGTCTCTAAAGATTTTTCACATGAGTATACAACAGATTCCATTCAGATACTTATACAATTTAATTAATATATTTAAGAATAGCATGGGGTCACAATTTTTTTTTTAAACTTTATGTTTACATTCTCTTTGATCACATATGCTGAACATGCATGCTTAAAAGCTAACAAAATGAAAAGTATTATATATGTCTAAATATAAGGTATTATATATGTTTAAATATACACTCATGTCCATAAATTAAGGATAATTCGGAGTCACGGAGAAACCGAACTCTAAAATAAATATATCACCTGTAAAATCACTACACACACTTCAAGAATCAAATGCAAATTTCAGGAAGTAACCAGATGACACCGATGGTACATCACAATGACGAGAGTGTAAGAGAGTGATATATAAAGAATACAGACAAAGAAGTAAAATTGTTCGCAGGCACTTTATAAGCATTTCAGTGCAATAATCGAATAGTTATGACACAAAGGATGCATTTGGATGATTTTTTACATGGTAGAATTATCGGCCGTCTGGAATGTGGGCGTCCCCAACTGGAAGTATCACGAACTTGAAATTGCCCAGTGTCATCTCCAAGCTTTGGCAATGATTCCAAGATGATGGTAATGTGAGTAAACACGTTACAGCACAGGTCGCCCCAGACTTACAATGCCGAATGAAGACCAGTATTTGGCAGTTACTGCCAAAAGAAACAGGCGAAGCACATCCTCAGACCTGTCTTGTCAGCTCTCTTCAGCCACTGGTACGACAATTTCAAGGCAGACCGTGTACAGACGCTTAGAGCAGATTGGTCTATATGCTCGTAGACCTGTCAGATGCGTTCCACTTACTGCAACTCACTGTTGCCTGCGGTTAGCCTGGAGTAGAGAGCATGCCTTGTGGACACCACAACAGTGGGCTTGTGTGATGTTTTCCCGACGAGTCCAGGTTTAATTTGCAGTCTGATTCTCACCGGAATTTCATATGGAGAGTTCCAGGTACCCGTTACCACCAAGAAAACATCATTGAACACACCGTTACGGTGGTGCAGGGGTGCTCGTTTGGGGTGAATTATTTGGGTTCCAGAACTGACCTGCATGTTCAAATTGGAACCATGACAAGCCAAATCTATTGGGACGTCATTCTGGAACAACATGATAGTTTGTTTTGGGGTGCCATGGGTGCACAATTTGTGTTTATGGATGACAATGCCCGTCCTCACTGTGCAAAAATGGTAAGCGAATGCCTTCAATCGGAGGATATTACCCATATGGACTGGTCAGCATTCTCACCGGACTTGAATCCAGTAGAGCATGTGTGGGACATGCTTGGCCGACGAATTGCGGCCTGTCAACCTCCTCCTACATGTCTACTGGAACTTCGCAGAGCATTGCTTTTTGAGTGGTGTAGTATCCCCCAAGATCAGATCGATAATTTGATACTCAGCATGCCTAGGCATTGAACGGACTATATTGCATCATCTGGGAGACATACAATGTATTAACAATCATACCAACTATGTAATATTGTTTTTTTGTGAATAGGTTTTTTTGGTGATTTCTGCAGGAAGAAAAAATCACTAATTTTTTTTAATAATATCAAACATATAGCATCTTTTTTTGCTCTTTACCTTTTTTTTTAATAAATAAGCTTTACAAATAAGTCAAATTTGTTTTGCTTCTAACTCTTCCTTTGCCTTATTTTGCATTATCCTTAATTTATGGACATGAGTGTATATAATTTTCCATTTTTAAAGCTTTACAAGAACAAAAAAATTTTGAAGATAATCTACATAACTTTTCTTCCAATGCTTGTATATTTGGTCTATAAACACTCATTGGGAACTGCGAATTATTAAGCCCAACAGTCAGTCAGTTGTTTTTTGCCATGAACATGCCCAGTGTGCATCAGGCAGAATGACCAACATTATGCCCAAAAGAAGAGGAACAGACAACTACAAAATCCATGCCTTCTACATGATTTGAGCCCAAGCTAAATGATACTAGCACAAAGGCCCAAGATTCAGACTCATCAAGATCTCAACAATCCTGAGTTTTACATTCTCATTTTAAACCTACCAACATGACACACAGAAACTGTGAAAATAAAAATACAGTCAAAAGTCTTTAATCCGGACTCGTCGGGACTTCGGCAACTCCGGATTATAGATCATCAGTTTAAATCTCGTAAGATGGCATGCAGAAATTATAAAATTAAAAATATGAAAACGTAATTTATGAAATAAAGAGCAATTATGATCTAAAGGATATCAAAATTTACAAAAAAAAAAAACTTATATTTATTTGTTTATTAAACATTTCTTTAGAGCGTGAAATTGATAAACAGATTTCGGAATGGTTAGAGAAACAAAGGATATGCCTTTATCCATTTTTTGCAGCAATTCCACTTTTCGTTTGATGGACATCGAAACATGCTTTCACTTTGTAGATCCTTTGGCAGCTACAGAATTGGAAATTCTTTTTGACATAATCGAAAGTTCAAGGTTACTTTTATAAAATTGCTTTAACAGTCTGCAAAAAATAATAAGGCGGATCCAATTAGAAGATTAAGGAACAACGCAATCTGCAACATTAACTGAAATAGATAATTAGATAATTTTCACTTAGCTTATACCATCCGTTATACATTAAACGCATATGCGTAAATGTATTATGCGCATGCGTAAACGCATATGCGCATGCACAGAAATTTTGTAGCTTTGAGGTCCAGATTAGGGACATCCAGATTAAAAACTTTTGACTTTAGCAAATATTTGTTCAGAAAAACAATGAAGCATTTATGATTTTAAGGGAATCAAAATTTACAAAAGAGTTGCAATATTTTCTGTTTGCTTTATTAACCATTTCTTACAGTGTAAGTTGTTTAAGTTAATTCACGTAATTTCTTGTTAGTTACTTCTAGTCCTGTAACTGATGAGTTGAGAATGCCCACTAAATTGTCATTCAAAAATTTTCTTCTTCACAACCTATCACTTTCTTCACTATTGGTAATGATATTTCTCACATTTTAAACCATACTATAGATTTCATGTAATGCCTCATTTTAATGTAGCTCAATGCTGAGTCCATTATATACTAATGCCGATATATTTCGAGACTAGTAACTAACTAAAGACATATTATTCCAGTAAATTTTGTCCTGCTTCTAACCATGTATTGTGGAGTTTAAGCCTGAACTACATTAGTTATTTATTATATTTGAAGGGCTAGCAGACAGAAGAGCCCAACTCAACATTTTTTAAATTTTGGAAAATTAAAAAAAACTTTTCAAAATTTCATTTTTTTACTTATATTTTATACATCTGTGCTCATTAAAAGGCTAGTAAAAATGATTTTTTATGACTGCTGCAATGGCTTTTTACTCCAAGGAACTATTTTTGTTTAAACAAAAAAGACCCATGAACACAAAATCCACGGGCAGAACTTTCTGTTAAATTTTCTCGTCGTTAACACACTGCACAGTTGGCTGAAGTCTGCTACTGTCACCAAAGCCCCGTTTACATACAACACTCCTTCGCACATCTGCCGTTAACAAGAGGAGAAAAAGGAGACATGAAAGAGTTTCGTCTTTAGGACCCGTTCACTGTTTTCCTTTCCTTCACACCTAAGCCTCTGTGAACAATCACGTCTCCGAAATGGCAGATTTCTAATACCGTTTAGACATTTTTAACATTGTTTACTGTTGTTAATTTTGTAATCTGTACTTTCGCAACTGGTACCTGAACTTAATAATGGTTCCTGAAAAATATATGCTTTTTAATTATTATTATTATTATTATTTCATAAGCTGTTATTTAGCTCACTTTTGGTGCTTGTTGCTATGGTTAAAAGATGGTCATGGATTTTTAAACTGCTTCCTGATGAGATATAGAACTCAAACTTTGTACATAGACTGCTTTTGGATGTGGTGTCACGCCTTTGATTTTTTC